CTTCATTCAATATGATTCATCATTTTCAATATATATATATATATATATATATATATATATAGGTATCTTGAATGCAATTATCGAGAGACTTTCACTCAAGGACCTTGCTACGATTTTACTTTCGCCCGTTGCAGTTTATAGAAACTATATTCTAAAACAACTATTATAATATTTTTCATAAAATAATAAAAAATAACATAAAATTTCTAATCAAAAAACAGAATTTTTTTTCTATTTACAAAAAAATTAGTTTTTTATTTTCAAATTATAAAATAATTACAATTTTCATTTTTATTTAAATTATTAACTTTATAACATTAGTATTAATTTTAACAATATTAATAAAAAATTAATTTAAATAACTTTTATTTAAATAACAATAAAAATATTTTTTGAAATTTTATTCACAATTTACAAAAAGAAAATTATTTATATTATTACATATATAATATTAAAAATAATGAGGAAAGGTATGGTGAGAATAAAAACTTCATTTTAATTTTTTACATTTTTTTTTTTTTTTTTATTATAATTACGATTATTATTACACTTTTTTTTGTTTTGTTTTTATAATCATTTGTTTTTTTGTTAATGTTCAGTACATGATGAACAATAACAATATAAAATATATAATATTTTTATAATCTCATTAAAGTCACATATACCAAAATGAGTATACGCATACATATTACATGTACGCGATAATGTTTCATAAAATCTAAATGTGTAAAAAAAAGGTATACGATAAATATATATATATATATATATCCTCGATTTACTAGCGTAATTAGTGTACGAACAATATAATCTCCATTTAATTTCTACGCACGTGTTTGCTTTTATAACTTATGTGCACATTATTTATATATATATATATATATTTATATGTGAGCAAATTCGCACATGTGTCACAGAAATTTTATTTTGTTTTTTGGTTATAAAAAAAAAGAAAAAATTTTCTTTTCAATATCTTCTTCTGTATATAATAATAATAATAATAATTTTTAAAAACGAAACGCTCACTATATATCAAATACTCAGGAATAAATATATGTAATAAAATTACTTCGCAAATGAAAAAAAAAAGAAAAAAAAAACTTTCACTTATATATTTAAATATGTACTTTGGAACTTACTATACCTCATTGCTTTGAATTGCACTCGGTACCATAAAAATAAAAAACTAATACAGCACATTTTTTTTTCTTTCGAAAAAATTATTAAAATTAATTTTATCAAGAAAAAAATTTTAAATTAATAAATTAAACACAGCAATTTTGAATATAAGGAATTAAATTTACAAATAAATAAATTTTTTATAAATATTAATAAATTAATTTTAATTATATATAAAAATAGAAAATAATTATTAAGTTTGAAAAAAATGCAAAAAAAAAAAAAAATAATTAACAATAAAACATAAAAGATAATGAATAATTGAAAAAAAAATCCAAAGTGTATAAAAAAATTCCTTTTTTTTGGGATATGTGTAAAGGAAGAAGAAATGTGTTGTAAAAAAATTGGTACCGATAGGTGCTTTATGATCCTATTATGTAAACGCACTTTTTTTTTTTTTTTTAGAGAAAAAGTCACTACTTGGGAAAAAGAAGAAAAGAAAACCTCCACTTATTAGGGCTGGTAAAGCGAGTACATGACCACCTTGTATATATATATATATATATATATATATATATATACCTGGAGTCGTGTCGTTTAGAGATTCTTAGTGATACAATAAATACGTGCGTACCAATGTCAAATAAATCCGTTTATGTACAAGAGCGTTTGAGACACGAGGTGGCGAGGAGGCAAGAGCCAGAAGAGTAAGAAGCGATATACGCGAAAGTACAAAAAACAACCAACGAAAAGTACTAATTAAATACCTGATACAGACTCGGTTGCTCGTGAAACTATCAACTTAAAGTTAATTAATTTCCAAGGGCTATGTATTTTGGAAAATAAAAAATAAAAAAAAAAAATCAGTAATATTTTTTTTTCTAATTTACATATTTATACTGGTTCTCTCACATTAAATTTAGTTTTCCATTTTGAAAATTTCAATATTTTTTTTACTAATATAAAAATATTTCACTTTTAAAGACAAATATTTTTGAAAAATTATTTTTTATTTAAAAAAAAAAAAATTATAGAAGTGATATAAAAATATATTTTTTTTTATATACATAATAATGGCATATACAATATATAATAAATATGTACAAAGTTTAAAAAACTAAATAATAATTTTGAAACAATTGCAACCGATTCTGTGAAGAGCTAAATTAAATAAAATATTTAAATAATTCAGAATTATTATATATATATGAAAGTAAAGCACCTATGCAAATATAAATATATAGATATATATATATATATAGTAGTACATCCAGAGAAAAAATATATTTTAGTCCTCAGTGCTAAATATTTGTTTTAAAACGACAAAAATTTTCTTTGTACAAAAAAAAAAAATTTTACAGAAAAATTTATTTCCACAAGAGAAAATTTTCATTGAAAATATTATAATAATTTAATTTTTCTTAATTTTATTAGAAAACAAAATTTTATCACAAAAAAACAAAAATTCTGTTTATAAAAAATTTTTTGTACAAAACACAATTTGATTCTTGAAAATTTTTTCCTTGTATAAAATAATTTTTGTGAGAAATAAAATTTTTCCGTTAAAAATGAATATTCAGCAACTTGAGATAAATATATATTTAATTCAAATAAATTATATTTGGTTCGAAAAAAAAAATTTCTCTGAATGTATTTTTTTTTTTATATAAAATCCTAAAGCTTATTTAAGAAAATAAAATAAAAAATAACTGATTCTTTGAGTATACAATAATTAATGGAAATGACTCACGTGAGTCGAGAAAAACTTAAAAAATTAAATATCCTTAAATACTAATCGTTCATAGAACATACAATGTTTAATATATCATAGATATATGGGACCAATATCACCGGTCTCAATCGCATATATTTAATCTCCTCCTGACAAATTTCATTCTTCGAAATCTCTTTATATTTTTTTTTTTGTTAATAATATTTAATAAATATTTACATGATTAAAAAATTTATCATTAATAATTTCATTTAAATAACGAAAAAAAAATTATATTTAGGAAAATCATTTTTTTTTGCAATTTAAATAAATTAATGAAATAAAAATATTTTTAATAAAAAAAAATTCAATTTAAAAAAATGAATGAAAACAAAATATTTTTATTAAAAAAGAAATTGATATAATAGTTGAAAATAATTTGACAAACAAAATTAATATAGAATGTCAAAAAAAAAAGTATATTTTAATATGAAAAAAGGAATTTAAAAATGACTAGTTTTTTTTTTAATGTAAAAAGCAATTTTTTTTTAAAAATATATTATTTGCATATCATTTATTTCATTGCCACAAAGTCAGATTTTATAGGGCATTAATGTCAACAAATACCCGTAAAATTTTTACTGTCACTCCTTTGAATTTATTATTTAATGTCTCACCGTTTTATAAACACACCTTTTTTTCTGAAAATACTCCAATAATTCATATTTAATTTTATATTCTTGACTTCCATTTATTTTATATATGCCACAAATTTTTTTTTTGCAATATCACAAATTGTTGAGGAAAAAAAAAATTAGTTAAAAAGAGTGTGTTTTTTTGGAAGTTCGTCGAAATTTTTAACTTTCAAATAGAAAAAAATAAATTTTAAATAAAAACAATGATAATTAAAATATATTAATAAAAAAATGTTTTAATATTAATTAAATTTTTTTTTTACTGATTTCTACTACATTGACAAATTAATTTTATACTACTTTTTAAAAAAGGAGATTTTTATATTTTTTAAGCTCGTAAAGTAAAGTAACATTAATTTTTTTTTTCAATACCAGTTATCAATTTTATTTTTCATTAATAATAATTTTTGAATGTCAATTAAAATGAATAATAATATAAATGAAATTAATGTATTGGAAAATTTAATTTGAAATTAAATGATTTTCGTTTTATAAGAAAATTAGAAATTTTTTTTCGGATTTCATTTTTAGCCAGAAATTTCGGAGATGAGAAAAGTTGATCAAGCAGCAGCGAATTGTTCCGCGCGCTAAGATCATGGAAGAGTGGTCCATAGTGACCAGCGACTGGGACCAGCAAGCAAACGTGAGAAGAGACTCTATTTTTTTTTCATCGCTTATTAAATCAGCAGCTGAATGATTTTTTCAAAAATCTTTCACGGGACGTACCTCCCGAATCGATCTTAGGAAAATTATTCAGCTTACCGGATTTTTTTCCAATTTTTTTTTTTTTTTTTTAGAGCTCTCGCGCGTTATTAACAACAACTTAACCCTCTAGAAAGTTGAGAAAAGCCAAGGCTGTGCTTTACATACATGCAGCCTCGGATCGATCGTTGAAAATCGATAAGGAATGAAGAACGAGATTGCGTTAATTAAGCGCCCAAACCGGGCGTACACGTTTGGTACCCAACCGTCGTTTGACATTATTTTCGCTGGAGAATAATGCAAACTCGGCGGATTCTTTTTGGCGACCTCCGCTTAAAAAAAAACTTTTTTTCTTCGAAATTACACATACACACTTTTTTTTAGAACAACGATAACAATTCGTATATTTATTATAAAGTAAATACAGACACACACACACACATACATTCGTAATACGCAATTATTGCTTGGATTCTTTCCACATTGTAGAAAGAGTCGGAAGCCCTGATTTTAGCTCCGATTTTCAAATCTAGATTCAAGATCGCCAATTGGATGACTTTTATTGGATATAAGCATGTTGGTATCATTTGATCTTTGACCATTTAAAGTTTACTTGGGAGATATTGAATCGAGATCGAGAAACGGAATTAGAAGACAATCGGTTGAGTGAAGAAGACAGCTTCCTTTGGGATTTATGTGGGAACTTGATTTGCATCGCGTGAATAAATATAAAGATTAGAAATTCCATTCATGGGAAAAAAAATTTTGAAACTGAATTAAATTTTGAGAATTCAATTTTAATTCAAAAGGGATGGATTTATTTTTAATTTTTTTTTTTTTAAAGACAATACGGATGACAGAACTGGTAGACTAACCTCTGGCTGCGTTCTGTTTTCTTCATGATACCTTTCTTGTAGTATTGACGAATGCTGCGACTTAATTTGTCATAATTCATTGCTGGACGATTTTTTCGTTTACCCCAGAGTCTTGCAACGCGAACTGAATCTTCAATTTTAAAGACACCTTTATTACGATCGAGCCAACGAATACATGATCCATGAACACCGGGACTCTGAAGGAGTTCTTTTAAAAATTGCCAAAGATGAATGTGAGAGCCGCCATTACGCATTTTACCACCTGATGATGTTTGAGTAGATCCAGAATCTTCGTCTTCGTCTGAAACAAAAATTTCACAAAAATTTCAACTTAATTAGATAAATTTTCAGTCAAAAAAAAAAAAAATAATTTCTCTTTTAAATAAATTTACATTTTTTATCAAAATAAATTTTTGTTTAAAAAAAAATTATATTTCGGAAAAAAAAATTTTTTTCTAATATAATAATAAAATAATTCCAATAAGAAATTTTTTCATATTTAAAATAGGTAATTTTGAGAAAAATTATTATTTTTTTCCATTTTAATATAAAGTTTATTCAAAAGTAATGAGAGAGAGAGAAATTTTTCAATCAATTCTACTGAGTAAAATGTGAGAAAATGGCATTTTAGTTTTCAGAGAAATACTGCCACTCAATCAAGTAATGAAAAAGAATTTTTTTTTTTTTTTTTTTTCTTTTCAATTAATCCTACAAAAGATGGTGGGAATTTTATTTTTAGTTCAATGAATATTGCTTTTAAAATATAGAGTATTTTAATTAGCACAAAAAAAAATTTGTTTAATTTAAAATTATTGCAATTTAATTACAGCTTCTTTTTTTCTAATAAAAGCTCAAAAGAAAATGATTTTTAATCAAATTTTGTCTTTTTATAATAAATTAAAGAATATTTTTTTGTAATTTAAAAAAATAATTTAGAAATTCAAATTCTATGAAAATATGTAAAAAAAAAAATATATATATATATATAATGAATACAAGAAGTTTGTAAATTAAATGGATTTTGATGATTTACCGTCAGAATAATCTAAGGAACAGGATCCTTTGACACTGGCTGGACCAGTACTTGATGCTGAGGAAGTTGTACTTCCGTTTGCACTTCCTGGCGCTTGAACAACTCCTGCTGGACTCCACGAGGCGGCCAAGGTATTTCTTGGTGATTCCTCGACTGCTGCTTTCCAGATTTCCAGTTGAGCGTGTAGCACGCTTCCGCACTGTGATCAAACAAGATTACTTTCGATGAGCAAGACATACCTCTCAAAATCCCAGACTACTTCATTTTAAAACCTCTATATCTATATAACAAATAAACTATATCAAAGAAATGCCTTTTCCGAAAGGATTCTAAGATTCAAAAAACAAGATAAAAAAATAAATAATACAAAAAACAAACAATTTATTTATTGAAAAATATTACAGAATATTTATACAATAAATAATAATATTCTATTTTAATTATTTAATTTCAATTAGAAACATTAATAAATTAATTAATTATTATTTTCCATCATAGTAAAAAAACAATTTTTTTTTATCCCGTGTAGAAATTTTGCCAGGGCACAAATCGGGGCCGGATTTGGATGCCCTATTAGGGAATAGGCGCGCCTTATGTGACCCTGATTAGGAAATACAAATTTTCTCGGCGCCCCGATTTGGCCCTGATCAGCGTTACATTCCCTACTAGGGCCCTGGTAGAGCAATTACTTCACGGAATAGATTATTTTTATTATTATTTTTTTGAGAGATAATAATTAATAATAACAATAATTGCATCTTCTATATAAAAACCCAGATAGCACGGAAACTTGCAGCAAGCTTGCGGCAAGTTCATCGTGCAAGCTTGCTGCAAGCTTCTCTGAGCTAGCGAAATGTCCCACCCAGGGCAAACTTGCCGTAAAAGCTTGCTGTAAGCTTTTCAGGAAAGGTTGCTGCAATCTTGCCATGAAAGATTGCTACAAGATTGCTGCAAGCATACTAAGAATGATTGCGGCAAGGTTGCCGTGAAAGATTGCTGTAAGCTTGCTACGTAAAGTTGCAGGAGAATTTCAACAAGCTTCTGGAAAGGTTGCTGCAAGCTTGCTGCAATTTTAAAAAAATACATTTTAAATTTAAAAAAAATTTATTTGTTTTTTTTTTTTAATTTGAAAATCCTTGTGACGTTTATTATTATTAATTATGTCCTGTTTATTTTCATTTGGAAACATAACGAGAAAATTTTCGAAACAAAATTTGAGGGGACTGGGAATTGAACCCGGGTTCGACAGACACTAACCAAAGACCCTAACCGAGAACCTACTCGACCAACTGTTTTTTTCTTTTCTTTTTTTTTTTTTTTTTAATTAGAAAGTATAATTAATTGATATTACTGTTAAATAAAAATTCGTATACTGAAAGAAATTGAATGTTACTTAAATTTAAAGTAGATATTCAAATTTACAATTTTGGAAAAACAATTTTTTAATTAATATTTGCGAAAAACAATTATTACTTTTCCAATGAAGAACAGTTATATAGAAACAAGTTTTTGTTCTCTCTCTCAAAAAAAAAATGTGTATTAAAACAACTTTTTTTAAAATTATTTCATTGTTATTAAAAAAATATTAAATTTTTAAATTTATTATTATTATCGGATTTATTTAAAATCCATTTATGTTTTAATAAATAAATAAACCATTGTTATAAAAAAAAAATTATTAAAATGCAAATTTGACATCAATTATAAAATAATTACACTCAATAAATACTAAATTAGCTATTTTTTTCATATTTGTAATTTTAAATAAATAAATAATGAAAACATTGATTTTTTTTGTCGATTTTTATTCGTGAAACTGTTTTTGTGATAAGCTTATCTACTTTGCGATTCGATTCATAAAACTTGAGGAATTTGATGAAATTTTCGATTTAAAAAAAAAAGAATAATAAAGAAACGAGCGCTCTTTTGCGTTAGAATATATATATATATATATAGTTGCGAACTGGCGAAAAAGAACACGTAAGCAATAGAATTCCCGGTCGTGTCTCGACTGTTGAAGAGAAAGCAGCTCTGGTGACCTACATTATCGTTTAGGACTTGTTGGGACCAATGAAGGAGTCTGCGGGGTCCGTTGCGGAGGAGACCAATCACCGCTTTTGCCACTCCGCATGTGCATGTCATCTTTAAGAGGAATCAAGAAACGCACCTTGAAACCAGTTATTTCTCATTGCACATTTAATCATTTTTCAATCATTTTATATTTTCATTTCTTTCTTTCTTTATCTATCGTTAGTTATTTCTTCTTTTTTAGAATTTTTTTTTTCACTTTAAATAATTTAACCTGAGCTGATATAATAAAAGAATAATGGATTTATAAAAAAAATAAAATCAATTTGGAAAATTAAAAAATTTTTTTTTTAAATTCTAATAAAATTTCTGTATGAAAATTAATTTTCAAACATGTAGAATAGATATTATTTCTTTCTATTTGTTTTTATATGAGATTTTCTTGGGAAATGTAAGTTTTGAGATTTCTGGTGTTTTATGGTAAAAATATCGTATGAGTTTCAGGTGTTCGGCATGAGATAGGTATTTTGCAATGCAAGATTTCCGATGACACATCACTTTGCGTGGTCCACGTGATTCAGAACTTGTGCATGCTCTCAGCACCGGTGCATCGATCTTTCGAAACCAGATGGAAATACCTTCGATATATATATATATCGAGTTCACGTCTTTCTAGTGCTCGTTTAGCATTTACACCAGATGAAATATCAGCCCAATCGTTAGACTTATATCTTCACCCAACACATAAAAGCTGAGATTACTCTCGTAAAAAAAAAGAAGAGAAAAAAAAACACCCGAAGATTTAATATATAAAAAAAATTATCTAAAAACGCCTCCTTTAAATTAAATCCGATCAATTTTGAAATATTTTTTCCGACATATTGGATTCGCCTTTTTGAATTTTGAAAAACTAATATCAGATTTGTAATCAGCGATCCTAAAAACCCCCACGAGTAACAAGTTTCAAACAAATCCGATCAATTTTTAATTTTTCTCGTCCGCCATATTGGATCAGCCATTTTGAATTTTGAAAAACTAATGTCCAATTCGTAATCAGTGATCCTGAATTAAAAGTAAGAATAATAAAAGAAGAAACAAAACCCACTTGGAAAGATTCCCCGGAAAGTGCCCCCTGGAGGTTCTATCAGAATTCCGCCGGAACTTCCAACGTAATTCCGTTGGAATTCCATCGGAGTTCCAAAGAATTCTGCCGGAACTTCCAACGTAATTCCGTCGGAATTCCATCGGAGTTCCAAAGAATTTCCAATGGGATTCCAACGGAATTAGGACTCTAAAAATTTTGAAAAAAATTAATCGGAATTCCGTCAGAATTTCGCTGGAACTTCCAACGTAATTCCGTCGGAATTCCATCGGAGTTCCAAAGAATTTCCAATGGGATTCCGACGGAATTAGGACTCTAAAAATTTTGAAAAAAATTAATCGGAATCCCACCGGAAATTCTATGGAACTCCGTTGGAATTCCGACGGAATTACGTTGTAAGTTCGGGCGGAATTCTGATAGAACCTCCAGAGGGTTCCAAAGAATTTCCGATGGCATTCCAACGGAATTAGGACTCTAAAAATTTTGAAAAAAATTAATCGGAATTCCGTCAGAATTTCGCTGGAACTTCCAACGTAATTCCGTCGGAATTCCATCGGAGTTCCAAAGAATTTCCAATGGGATTCCGACGGAATTAGGACTCTAAAAATTTTGAAAAAAATTAATCGGAATCCCACCGGAAATTCTATGGAACTCCGTTGGAATTCCGACGGAATTACGTTGTAAGTTCGGGCGGAATTCTGATAGAACCTCCAGAGGGTTCCAAAGAATTTCCGATGGCATTCCAACGCAATTAGGACTCTAAAAATTTTGAAAAAAATTAATCGGAATCCCACCGGAAATTCTATGGAATTCCGACGGAATTACGTTGTAAGTTCGGGCGGAATTCTGATAGAACCTCCAGAGGGTTCCAAAGAATTTCCGATGGCATTCCAACGGAATTAGGACTCTAAAAATTTTGAAAAAAATTAATCGGAATTTCGATTCTGATAGAACCTCCAGGGGGCACTTTCCGGGGAATCTTTCCAAGTGGGAATTAATGATTAAAAATAATAAAAGAAATGAAGACAAAAAATGAAGTAAAACATAAAAAGAATTATATAATAATAGGAATGAAAAAAAAACAAAATTATAAGTTCAGAACAAAAGAAGTGAATCAAATTTATTTAATTAACAAACTAATAAAAATAAAAAATAATAGAATATCCAAAAGACAAAGGAAGCGCAGTACTAAAAAAAAAATTGCAGTACTTCTTATCTCCAAAGGGAAATTTTTTTTTTTTTCCGCCGAAGAAGAGAGTCTATAAATATGCATTTAATGGTTCGAGAAGCAATATAAGTTACAAGGCGTTCAAACGTGTTTTGTAATTTATCGTTATTATCTACTAATGTTACAAGAAGATTGTTCTTGACTGCGGATTGTACGTTGTGCTGAAATATCGAATCGAAATTGTGTAACTCTCTATTAAGCGATATAGTTTGCAAAATATCTTCTTCTGTCCCAACATGTGATACAATTACAAAATCTTAATTTTGAAAAAAAAATTAATTTCCAAAAACAATTATTATTTCAAAAAAAAAATAGAATTTTTTTTTACAAAAAGAAAATAATATAATCGATTTCATCATTGATTCGTGATCTCGCGCATGGATGCTGTGGATCCGTTATACATGAAGCATACACACAATTCGAAGAACTCTCATTTCAGGTATATATATATATATAAATCTGTACCGCACGTAAAACCTGTGCCAACACACGTATTATGTATTCTAAAGTCGCGAAGAAAGACGTCAGACTTTTAAGAGGATTTCCCGGAAATTTTTACTTTCACCGGACCTCTCCCTCAATAAAAATTTCACAAACTTTCAATGACTCACATCATTACTTAATTGTTTCTGTTTTTTTCAAATTTCGCAATATTTCAATTTTATTGAATAAAATTACGTAAAATAGCAAAAAAAAAAAAAAAACAGTTTTTTTATAATTGAAATAAAAAATTGCTTCTGGTTTAGTAACGAAAAATTGGGAAATTTTTTTTTTTTTTTTTTTGAAGAGATGATGAACATTGAACAAATGTATAAATATGGAAATTATTATTATTGCCGGGGAGCAAAATTCGTCGAGAGTGTGTGATTACCGATGTGAGGCTTGTCTTGGAAATAAATTATTCTTTGTGAACCTTTGGAATTGCACTGGAGATACGAGAGTCACGTTCGGGATTTATTACACTATCGCGATGTCATGGTATTTTCTTCGAGGAAGGGGTAACCTCTTGGGAAGAGATCATCTACCATTTCAAGGCTGATGTGTCCACAAACCATAATTCTTTTTTTTTTTTTTTTTTTCTCTCAACGAAATGATAACACGCGCAATGTAACACATTGACATCGACCTTTTATACTCCGAAAAAAAAAAATATTTTCGATAACCAGCCAGCCTCATTTCTTAATATACAATTATTATATGTTAAATACAATTCAAAATTTCATTTAAATAATTACTATTATCAAAGAAATATTTATTTATAATTAATAATTTAAAATATTTGTTTCGAATAATTGAAATTATTTTATTTAATTCAAAAATTATTTGGTTCATATTTATTTGTAAAATAGTCAAGTAATTATTTAAATTAAATAAAATTGTTTTCATTGTATTACACCGTCCGACAAAATTCAACTTTTTTTTTTGACCCACAAAAAAATCCAACATTTTTGGAAATTTCGGAGTCGCTGATTATTAATCTGATGTCAAATTTTCAAAATTCAAAATGGCGGATTCAATATAGCGGTCAAAATTTTAAAAAGTTATTAAATTTTTTTTAAACCTTGATATCTAGGGGTTTTTTGGGTCGCTAATGACGAATCTGATATTAAATTGACAAAATTCAAAATGGCGGATATAAATTTAAAAATTAATAACTTTTTAAAAATTTGATCGCCATATTGGATCCGCCATTTTGAATTTTGAAAATCTGACATCAGATTAATAATCAGTGACCCCGAAAACCCCCAGGTACCAAGTTTTATAAAATATTAATAATTTTTAAAAAATATCTTGTCACTTTTCATTTAGGGGTTGTTTTCACCCCTAAAAACCACAAACGACTTGATCTAGCAAAACGACCAGATACGGGTATTTTTTTTTGGGTCCTAGTTTCCGAAAATGTCAAATTTTTTTGTGGGTCAAAAATTGTGTCGGACAGTGTTATAACTTATTGTAAAATTTGTTTACATTAAAAAAATTTTTAAAAATCGATTTGGAGTTTCAATTTTTTGATTCATGGAATTATTCGTGGTGGGATCGACGATAAAGAAAATGAATTAGAACTAAAATACGGTATGCGGCTAATTTGAATAATTTCATGGATACTTTAAAAGGGGGTTTTTTTTTTTTTAATTGATAAAAGGCATTTCTTGGAAGAAAAATCAATTGAGAGACTCACCTGTGGAGCTCTCCGACAAAATTCCTCTTCAGTGAGGGAAGTGAGAGTAGCACCATCAACATTGAAACTTTCCAGAGGCACAGAGGGTAACTGCAATTGCCTTCTGGCCCACTGCACCCAAGCTGCAACGTCGGCCGCACTCCAACGGCAAGGTTCTGTAAAGAAAAAAAAAAAAAAAAAAAATTAATATTTAATATCATAAATTCAATATTTACAAAATTTCCACTCAATTAAATTGAAAATTCATAACTATAATAAATTTTTAATGAATAATTAATTTATCATTAAATTGAAATTATTTAATATATTAATTTTTTTGTGACATATTTATTTTTTATTAAATAATTTATTGTTAATTAACAAATCTAAAAAAAATGGATTGATTCATGACCTTGAAATGGGGGCCAAAGTTTCGTAACTCATATTAGTCGAAAGTGCGTCGTGATATATACATTCTTAAATTATTCGAATCATGACGTTATAATATATTTTAGACGAATAAAGTGGAAGCCTCTATGGACGAATATTTGCCGCGGGCAAGGTAGACTACTCATATAAAACAAGTATATAGAAAAAAAAAGGAAGAAAACAAAAAAAAAAACTGAAAAATTATATATTTTCTGATTGACTATTCTTTTCTATTTTCTGCACACATAACGCTTCTTGACTCTAATTTATTATTCTTTTTAAAATGATTTTCAAAAACGAAAAAATTAAATTAAATTCATTTTGATGAGCTAATTTCTATATTCAGAGTGCTTCTTAATGGCGGCTCTAACATAACCTCAAAATATAGAAAATAAATATTCAAAAAATCATTAACAAAGAGTCAAAAAAAAAAAAAAATGAAATTATTGATAGTCATCAATTCGACGCCTACCGTTGATAAGATGCCCGTTTATTTGTCAGAATAATAAAATGCCAACTCGAGCTCAGTTCAATATGAAGATTGTCAAAATAATAAAAAGCTAACTCAGTTTCCGTGTAATATAATTCTATCTCGCATTAAATTCGAATTTAAGTTTTCGTAAATTAAAAAAAGGAGTTTAAGTCGATCAGAATATTAATTCATACTTTTTAATGATTAATTAATGATTATTAATTATTAATAAAATAAGACATAGAATAAAAAACATTAAATAATAAAATAAATGAAAATAAAAAATAATATTAAAACAGAAAAAATTAATTTAGCCTTGAATTATTTATTACTAATATTATATTTTTATTATTTTTCTATTATTTTTTCTATTTTTATTATTTTATTATAATTTATTTATCACTTATTTTATTTTTAATATAATTTAATATAATAAAATAATAAATAATAATAATAATAATAATAATAATAATAAATTTAATATAATTTTTTTATAATATAAACAAATTGTTTATATTATAATTCTTCTTGTTAATTTACTTAAATATATAAGAATTTTTTTGTAATTAAAATAAAAAGTTAGTTTATATCAAAATAATTGATTTACACCTTCATTAACAAAAATCTAAAAACAATTTGATTTCAGAACTATTTCGATTTTAAATTCATTTTAGTAAGTATTCAAGTTTTCGTAAAATAAAGAAAGTTTAACTCGATCGGAATATTATTTAATATTTTGTAATGATTAATTATTGATTAAAAAAATAAAATAATTTATAAATAAATTATAATAAAATAATAAAAATAGAAAAAATAATAGAAAAATAATAAAAATAAAATATAATAGAAAAATAATAAAAATAAAATATAATATTAGTAATAAATAATTTAAGGCTAAATTAATTTTTTTCTGTTTTAATATTATTTTTTATTTTCATTTATTTTATTATTTAATGTTTTTTTTTTCTATTTCTTATTTTATTAATAATTATTAATCACTAATTAATCATTAAAAAGTATGAATTAATATTCTGATCGATTTAAACTGCTTTTTTTAAATTTACGAAAACTTGAATTCGAATTTAATGCGAGATAGAATTATATTACACGAAAACTGAGTTAGCTTTTTATTATTTTGACAATATTGAACTAGCTTCATATTGAACTGAGCTCGAGTTGGGATTTTATTATTCTGACAAATGAACGGGCATCTTATCAACGGGAGGCGTCGAATTAATGATTCTCAAATTGAGACTCACCAGGATGGATGCCGAGGGCAACGCATGTATTATCAAAGTCCTTTTGCAATTGTTGAATAGCAAGACTGAGTACAGGCTCAATTTGTTCACGTGTAAGATCACCAACGCATTCATCAGTTTCCATATCCTCAACAAATCCAGTGCCAACACTACCAAGATCCACTGGTCGAAGATTATATTTCCTTTGAAAACTCGTGTCCCTTAATACTTCACGTAATAATTGATGATCACTTTTTCTCACATCTTTAAATAATTCCTCTTCTTTTGCCAATGGATTTATAACTTTATCCAAAAGAATATCATCGGGGAATTTTTCCACTTTTAAAATAGCCGACGATGTCTCATCGGAAAGATTCTTTGGACTCCCTTTATTGTACAATAATTCACGAAGGGGTGATCTTTCTAATTCGGCATAAGCAGGAGATGATGCTGTCGATGAAGAAATTGAAGATGGCGAAGAAATCGAAACTGATGACGACGACGACGATGATGATGATGATGAAATTGATGCTGGTGATGATGTGGAAATAAAAATTGATGATGACGTAGAACGAGGTTCTTCTTTAAAGAGAATTTCTTTTAGAAGAATATTGGAATCCTTTTTTGGAAAAAAATCTGTGTCTAGACTGTTGTAAATGTCTTCTTCTGTCCTGGGAGGAGTTGAAGGAACTGTACAGTCTGTGGAATCTTCTTTATATCCAAGACTCTCAGCTAGGAGTCTGAAATTTTAAGAGTTAAATTTAAATTTAATTATTGGATTTTATTTTTATTATTGTTTTTCATGATCTCTTTTTGATTTTTTTTTTTTTTTTATTGTTGCACAAATTCCATTCAACCGGAAAATTTAGGAAAATTTAATTTGGCAAAATTAGACAGAAGTACTTGGCAGAAATTTTATTGAATAGAAGTATTGGCTTTCTATTGGACGGAACAATGATGGGTCAGAATTTTTAGATGTAGGATTTAACAAAAATCTCATTTGACAGAATTTTCATTTTGCACAATATAAATAGAACTTTCAGAAGTTCCGCTTGACGGAAATAGCAGATTTTCCGTTAGACAGAATTTGGAGGAATTTTCATCTAACAGAAATAACATTTAAGACAAATTTCGTTTAATAGAATTTCTTGACAGAATATGTCTGAAAAAATTTTCATTGGACAGAACTTGATTATAGATAAAAAGAATATTTATAATTTCAACAATGATTAAGTTTTGTCCAATGAAAGTTTTTCTACACTCATTTTTTCTGATAAATGAAAAATCTCATTAGGTGGCAGTTTTGTTGGTACTTCTGTTAGGTGTAAAATTCTGTCCAATCAAAGTTCCGTCCAGCCAAACACTGGCAAATACTTCTGTCGAGCGAAAATTTTAATCCATAAAAATTCTGCAATATTTTGTTAGACAATTCTACGATATTTCTATTTTTTGATATTTCTGTTGAATGAAAATTGTTGCCAAAAAGTTTTGACCGAACAGAAAGTGTAGTGCTATTTCTCTCAAATTGAAATTCTGTTGTTACATATTTTCCGTCCAATCGGAAAGTTCTGTCAATGGGAAAATCTGCTACCTAATACTTCCCCACTTGGAAAGATTCCCCCGAAAGTGCCCCCTGGAGGTTCTATCAGAATTCTGCAGGAACTTCCAACGTAATTCCGTCGGCATTCCATTGGAGTTCCAAAGAATTTCCGATGGGATTCCGACGGAATTCTTAAGGAAATCCGATTATTTTTTTCAAAAATTTTAGAGTCATAATTCCGTCGGAATCCCATCGGAAATTCTTTGGAACTCCGATGGAATTCCGACGGAATTACTTTGGAAGTTCCAAAGAATTCTGATAGAACCATTGTGCTAAATGAAAGTTTCGCTAGTAAAATTTCTGTCGAATGGAATCTGTTATACAAACTTTCGGCCGTTGTAACTTTCTGACCAATGAAAATTTTGCTATAATTATATTTTGTTAGATGATAATTCTTTTAGATAATATTTGATATTTCTGATATTTACGCTGAATGAAAATTTTTGTTCAATTAAAATTCTGTCCAGCAGAAAATCGAATACTAATGTCGAGTTTTAAAACTTCGAATTTAGAAAAAAAAATTTAGAAATTTTTTTCCCCAAATGCATCATAACCGGAAATTCTAAATGACTAAATGTTAAATTATATCTGTATAGCCAATCACTAACGGTTGAATTAAATTAAAAGAACCACAATCTTTTAATAACTGTTATAATGACAGATAAAAAAATTCTTATTCCCCGAATCGTTCCAAAAATTGTCATTCTCTAATATTCAGATTTGAGTCATTATTATTTTGACACATTTTCCGTTAAAATTTATTTATATATATATAAAACACCAGGTAGAAAAATTAACATTACTAATGTTAGTAATATTACTAACGTTACTAATGTTACTAACGTTAGTACCTATAAAAAAATTAAGAAACTGTTTCTAAATTGTATTTTTGTAGAAACTTGTCGAAAATCGACCACCAGGAAGTATTTAATGTTCTTACACGCACTTTTTATAATTTTCATTTCTATTATCACTTCCACTTTTTTATTTTCATTACCGTTTCCACTTTCACTTTTTCTAATTCTCATTCCCATTTTCACTTTCACTTTTTTATTTACATTACCACTTCCACTTACACTTTTTCTAATTCTCATTCGCACTTCCATTGTGGGAAAGTGAATGTGAAATGTAAAAGTGGGAATGAGAATTAGAAAAAGTGGTAGTGGCAATGAATATAAAAAACTGGAAATGGAAATAGGAATGGGAATGAAAATTAGAAAAAGTGGAAGTGGCAATGAATATAAAAAAGTGTAAGTGAAAATGGGAATGAAAATTAGAACAAGTGAAAGTGGTAGTGAAAGTGGGAATGAGAATTAGAAAAAGTGGTAGTGGCAATTAATATAAAAAACTGGAAGTGGAAATAGGAATGGGAATGAAAATTAGAAAAAGTGGAAGTGAAGTGGGAATGAGAATTAGAAAGAGTAGAAGTGAGAATGGAAGTGCAAATGAGAATTAGACAAAGTATAAGTGGAAATGGGAATGAAAATTATAAAAAGTTTAAGTGGAAGTGAAAGTCGTAATGGGAAAGTAGTGTCAAAGTTTCTGTAAAAATATATTTTAAAAACTCTTAATTTTTTTATAGGTACTAACTTTAGTAACATTAGTTACATTAGTAACATTAGTAACGTTAGTAACGTTAATTTTTTCACCTGGGACCGGTGATAATATTTTGTACAATGATTAAAATACAAAATTTTATTCAGTACAATTTAAAATAAGTAAATTTATTCTTAAAATTATAACAATAGTAGAAAACAAAATTTTAAATTTCAATAGTTGTACAAACTAACCGGTTTTACAGTAATAAAAATTCTTACAAAAAAAAAATTTTTATATTGTACTGATAGTTACAAAAATAAAGTTTGTTATTTTGATAAATAAAATTATAAATTTTTCAATAATATATTCTTGGAAGATTAAAATAATCCCACCAGCTTCCAAGAAGTAATTTTTTTTTATCCTGAAATTTTTTTTTTCCCCTCATAACTCATTTATATTAAGAGATCATCATAATTTTTACAGATAATAAATTAATATTGTGCACCAACCTTGATTCTTGAAGAATAGCCAGAAGATCAAGACTTTTCTCTCGTTTGACATTTTGTTTTGTGGGTTCAGGGCTCGTTGGATAAAATTGGGCACTTTGTGGACTTTGTGGAAGATAATAGGGACTTGTGGGATAAGCGGGCGATGCATCTTGCGAATAATTTGGCGACAATGCACCAAGACCTGGATAAGGTGGACTTGGATATGTTGTCGGTGATGTGGGACGTGGTGAACATGCCTCTTGTTTAATTTGTGGTGGTGGCGGTGGTTTTAAATTATTTTGATTATTCAAAATGCCATAATCATCGGGCAATAGAGACAAATCAAATTGAAATGTCGTGTAATCAAAGGTCGGCGAAAAACCATCGGCCGTTGGCACTGTTTGTGGCATCTGAAACAAAAAGAAAAAAATTTAATAGAATGATGAAAAAAATAAAAAAAAAAAAAACAAATATAAAAAAAGTAGGAAATAAATTGTGAATTTAAAAAAAAAAAATAGTGTCGAGCCCGTATTAAAGATATTTTATATCAGTAAACATCTCGACATTTAGACAGCCAATAAAATCGATGAGGAACAACCTTTTGAGAAGAAAAAAATTATTATAAGAACTTTATCAAAAAGATATCTTCTAGCGGTTAAGAGAGAAATACGTAACAGGTCTTATGGTTATAATCGGACTTCAATCAGAGGTTAATTACAACCTTTATAAACATGTGGCGAAGATCAGATAATATATTAAAATTTAATATCTAGAGTGAGCAATCTTTAAGATATTAACCTTTAATAATAATCAAGTATCAAAGCCCATATGTCATTTCAATTCTCATTTTTCTTTTTCTTTTTTAAAGAAAAGGTTACAGAAAAAGTTAATTCTACCCCAGTGGGGTAGAATGGTAACCATTGGGCAACTCTTTTGCCACTGATAAATTTCCCACTGGGACAAATAATATAAATCAGTTTCAAATTATTTTTTGCAAAATACAGAAAAAAAAAATCCGACGGGAATCGAACCCGAGTACACTGGATACGATGCCGCGCCTTACGCACCTCAGCCAACCAAAACTATGTGATAAATAGTTGGAATATTTAAAATAAACCTCAATAAATATGATTTGAAAATAGAATTTCACGTCCAGGAAGGAGTTAGATAGCATCAGCTGTCACATGGAGGATGAAATAAAGGCAGGCAGGATAGGAGAATAGAAGTTGAAGATGGGTTGTTCTGTTTGGCGTTTAATGCTGGCAAGTGGAGTGACTTGAATGAGATCGAGTGAAGCCTCTAGTAAAACACTTTGCCTGAAACTCAACGTTATATATATATATATATACGTGTGTATGAGAGAGAGAGAGCATCGTAGGGATTTAAGTTGCGCCGAAACACTTTCCCTGGGGTACCAGAGGTACTATAAGGGCCATTTATCTTGGCGTGTGTTTATTGCCCGTCGTGTGTTTGACCTCGCATCAGTTTGTTACGCTTTGTAAGCCCATTACATCGTTCCCAGTGCATCTTCTCTACGCCAGGCGGGGTCGCGTCTGACATCTTGACGTAGTGCCCTGCAAAGGTCGACGCGAAATAAACGATTATACATATATACACAGAGGCGAAAGATACTGGACACACAAACGAAGGGAGCACATCATCTACAAACGATGAGGCCGAACAATGGCTGTATGAGATTTTCTTTATAAGCTTCGGAGTTGTATTTATCTCAAGAGCCATAGCTTATATTTGTTCTCAGAGTAACGTATATCGAATATAAGTATGAATTTACCCTCGAAGATTTCACTTTGAAACAAAAGAAATTGGACCAATATAATCCAAATTCGATACTATTAATAAAAATCGAAAAATTATTATAAAAATTTAATGAAATAAGAATAATACGTAGCAGATTTTCTGCTGAAACAGAATTTTGATTAGACAAAATTTTCACTTAGCAGAAATATCAAAAATATAATCTAAAAGAATTATCAAACAAATATAATTACAGCGAAATTTTCATTGGTCAGAAAGTAACAACCGCCGGAAGTTTGTGTAACAAATTCCATTCGATAGAAATTTATCTAGGGGAACTTTTATTTGACAGAATTTTCGTTTGATAAAAATGTATAACTAGCAAATTTTCTGCTGAACAGAACGTAACTGAACAGCGTAAATATCAGAAATATTAAAAATATAATCTGAAAGAATTATCATCTAACAAAATATAATTATAGCGAAATTTTCATTGGTCAAAAAGTTAAAAAAGCCGGAAGTTTGTATAACAGATTCCATTCGACAGAAATTAATCTAGTGAAACTTTCATTTAGCACAATTTTTGTTGGACAGACCCACTAGGAAAGATTCCTAGTGGGAATTTCATCGGAGTTCCAAAGAATTTCCAATAGGATTCCGACGGAATTCCAACTGAATTAGGACTCTAAAAATGTTGAAAAAAATTAATCGGAATTCCATTGGAAATTCTTTGGAACTCCGATGGAATGCCGACGGAATTACGTTGGAAGTTCCTGCAGAATTCTGATAGAACCTCCAGGGGGCACTTTCCGGGGAATCTTTCCAAGTCTCCAAATCTCCAAGACTCTAAAAATTTTGAAAAAATTAATTCGAATTCCGTCGGAATCCCATCGGAAATTCTTTGGAACTCCGATGGAATGCCGACGGAATTACATTGAAAGTTCCTGTAGAATTCTGATAGAACCTCCAGGGGGCACTTTCCGTGGAATCTTTCCAAGTGGTAAAGTATTAGGTAGCAGATTTTCCCATTGACAGAACTTTCCGATTGGACGGAAAATATGTAACAATAAAATTTCAATTCGAGAGAAATAGCACTACACTTTCTGTTCGGTCAAAACTTTTTGGCAACAATTTTCATTCAGCAGAAATATCAAAAAATAGAAATATCGTAGAATTGTCTAACAAAATATTGCAGAATTTTTATGGATTAAAATTTTTGCTCGACAGAAGTATTTGCCAGTGTTTGGCTGGACGGAACTTTGATTGGACAGAATTTTACGCCTAACAGAAGTACCAACAAAAATGCCACCTAATGAGAATTTTCATTTATCAGAAAAAATGAGTGTAGAAAAACTTTCATTGGACAGAACTTAATCATTGTTGAAATTATAAATATTCTTTTTATCTATAATCAAGTTCTGTCCAATGAAACTTTTTCCAGACATATTCTGTCAAGAAATTCTATTAAATGAAATTCGTCTTAAATATTATTTCTGTTAGATAAAAATTCCTCCAAATTCTGTCTAACGGAAAATTTGCTATTTCCATCAAGCGGAACTTCTGAAAGTTCTATTTATATTCTGCCAAATGAAAATTCTGTCAATAAATAATTTTTTCACAATGAATAAAATATTTATAATAAGAATGAATCAGAAATGACTATTGCGTTTTCTACTCTCTCTTTTTTAGTCACATCAAAAAATTGTATATATTTCACGTTTTATTATTCTGTATCTTTATTATATCTTTTGTAAATTAAAAAAAATGATTCAAATCTCAGGGAATTTACAAATTTTAGTTATATCGTTGAGAGCAAAAATTTATTATTATTATTATTATTAAACTGTTTGGTTTCTCTTGTAATGATATTAACATGAAAAATCAGCACTTGAGTCATTGACGTCATAGTACCCACCGATTAATGAATACTTGTGGTCGTCCTTTCGCTTATACCTATAACCAAGTGAATGTACTATGATACACTCCTTTGAATCGTGTTTTCTAAAAATAAAAATAAATATGAGAAAGAGTTTTTTTTTTTTTTTTTACTAATTAGTAGAGAAAATGCACAATTTCTTTTCCTGTGTAGTCTCTCAGAAATTATATCTTCTTTGCGGATGTCAATTTAAATTTGACGCTTGACAGAAAACGAAAGCAATTTTATAGTTCTATTAATATTTCATGGTGTAAATAATTTAATTTTTCAATTTAATAATTAAAATTTAAAGAAAACAATCTAATTATTAAATAGCATAATTAAAAATTATTATTAACTTCATTAAATATTTTCCCCCGTTTATTCGATTCGAAAAAAAAATATTCTAATTTTATTTCCAATGAATGTTAGCAAAAAAAAAAAAAATTAAAATCTTATTTGTGCAAAAAGAAATCGTGAAGCGGTAATTTTTGTGGTTCGTTGACCGGATAAAAAAAATGGAGGTTCAAGGACTATGCGCGACTATATAATAGAAATAAAAGCCAGGATATATCACAGGACTCTTTTTTTGTCTATATAATGTATAATTTATAAAGTGTAATACATATATGCATATATCTACAAATATATGTTTCCTAATACTATTTGACGTCAAAGCAACAGGAGGTGGTCCTTTCTAATTCAATGACGTCATAAATATGCTTTGTTTGCCACATTTTATGTATATGTATAATATATATATATATACATTATGTCCCTTTTATTCTCACCACTCCCATTTCATTTTTTTTTATTTCTATCTCTTCGGCCTTCTGCGGCCTTTACACTTTTTTTTACAGTATTATATCTTATTCTGACTCGACTTTCCGTTGCAATCGAGAAATCATTAGAACGACCTTTGAAGGACACTCTTTGTTCATTTTACACCAGACCTATACGTTACTATATCTACATCTTCATTTTTATGCTTTTTATTGGCATATATATATATATATATTTATCACGCTTTTATAAATATATGTTACATGTTACTATTGGTGTAAATTTATTTATTTTTTTATTCAGTTATAATTTCACGCTGTTTGAAATTTGTCATTTTTTTATAATAAAATAAGTCAGAAAAAGTCAGAAAATGAAAATTAGGATAAAGTGAATTAAACAAAATAAAAAGAATAATAAAGAAAATAAAAAGAAAATAATAAAGAAATTTTTTTAAAAAGAAAAGCATTAAAAATATGTTAAAAAAATAAAAGAATAAAAAACACTGTAAAAAAAACTTGAAAAAAAGTTGAACTATGGACAGTAGATTATAATATGAGTTATATGGTTCACGTGAATATAAATATCCCAGGATTTTGACAATCTTTTTTTATGGGTCATAGGTCACGTGTTGGTCACACCTGCTATTTTGTTCGACACTATGTGAGTGGAGTAAAAAAAAAACACTCCCTTGAATATCAATGATTTTATACATTTTAGTCACGAGTTACAATTTTTTTTTTTTTACGAATATGTTTTGCTATATGAATAATAATTAATTTTTTGATAAGTATATATAACGAAAGTCACAGCTTTTACTAATGTACAGAGCGAGATGATAATTATAACAAGCGCAAGTAAACAAATTAGCATTTTATCAATTTCTCAATGCGATAAGCGAAGAACATTTTTAAGACTAAATCAAAAACTTTTTTTTATTCAAGAATCCTCATTATTTAT